GCAAGCTGCAGACGGGGGTTTGCCCAGCCTAAACGGGAGGAAGGGTGGGTAGATTAGAGACACTCCTCCAGCTCAGGCTGGGCAAACCCCAGCCCGCAGCTTGTCCTCCTCCTTTCTTCACCCTCCCTTCCTGCAGACAGCATCGGAGCCGAGAGGGCCGGGGGGGGACTAGGGGAGAAAGGCTGGAGGCAGGCTACACAGGCTTAATTGGCTCCAAAGTGGAGCTCAATTCCCCACACCCACCCACCCCTCAACCCAGCAGGCAAGCAGCTGTTGAGTTGTGGGGGTGCTCTAACTCATGGCATTTTCTGCAAAGCGCCATGAGTCAGAATAGGCTTGTACAACTGTCAGCACTCAAAAATTCTGAAATCTTTTGGTAGGCCCCATCCCATCTAGAGATAAAAACCCAACGATGATATGAAGATCTGGACACAAACCTCACTGTTCTTCATTTTCTCCCTCGGGCTGGCAATTTTGAGCCCATCACTGTATAAACAAAAAATAAGCTTCCCACTGTTTCAAGTGAATATAGTGACTTTGCCTCTATTTTTGTATGCAATCTATTGATTTTAATGGCAGAGAAACTTAAAATATCTGTAACTGCAAAAGAAAACATGGAAAAAGAATGTCCCAAGGATATTTTCATGACCCCATAAGCCAGCCTTTGGCCTACTTGAGCATTGTAACCAGTGCTAACATACCACCTGACTATCCCATGGGAATAATAAAAATGGGCTTAAGTAAAAGTTACAGCTTGCCACAAGCAGAACTCAGGATAAACTGAGTTTCCCAGTAAGCTGCTGTTTTGTTATGGTGGTTTTGTTTTTAGAGAGGAATCATATTTTTTTGCCAATTATTTGACTTTTTCCTATCACTATGCATTCTGAAAAACGGCAGCAGCATTAATACCTCTAATGAATGGAATGCAATGTTAAATATGGGTGATTGTGAAAAGCAATGTATACCTATTGTTATTACAGACTAGTATAGGACATGTTACAGTTATGTCCTTTCATAAACCTAAGAAAACATTTCAGAAGCTCAAATACCACAACTTCCCAATTGCAGTGGCTAGCTCGTCATATTAATAGTGACTACTGGGCTTATAAGGGAGAGATGCTTGGTAGGAATAGCAGCTTAGTAGTAAATTATTTGCATATTTTTATAAGAACTGCCCTGCCCCGCTACATCACTATAAAGATGTACAATTGAGGATCCTGCATTGAATTTGCCAGCTGGAATTGACAGTGGCTTTTGCTCATTATAAATAGAACAACCTGTACTTTTGGAAGAGAGAAAATGGACTAAATCAATCATGCTAAGCTTTGTCAAAGAAAACTGAATTGGAATTTTCCCATGAATCTAACCATCACCCCAAATCCACATAAAAGACTAAATTACAACTGCTCACATCTTCATTACAAAGGTGCAGCATGTTGTCACTACCACTCCCATATGCCATGATTCATCTCCACTGAGTGGCTTTTGGCTTGAAGCATGATAGAGCACTGTATGCTGGGATACACCTGTAAAAGCTGCACCTCCGTAGGAGAAACAAGAGTGGCCAGAGGCCACAAAATATCTATTAGCCACAGCTGGCTTGCTGTGCACATTTTTGACCACCCCTGAAAAAGGCTGACTTAGATGTGTTGTGAAATTTAAGCTGGTAAAAGATGCTGTGCTGTTTTCTTTGCCTGTACAGACCTGATTACATGTGTACATTTTGGTTGTTTGCATTTAAAAGGTACCTCTCTGACCAATGGAGGCCTGAACCTGCACAGCACTGTGAAAAGGAAACTGGATGGGGAGAAAGATTACGTATTTGATAAGAGGCTAAGGTACAGCGTGCGTCAAAATGAAAGTAACTGTCGATTCAGGGACATTGTGGTCCGGAAGGAAGATGGTTTCACGCACATTCTGCTGTCTAGCCAGACATCAGATAACAATGCACTGACCCCAGAGGTAAGCATGCAGCCAGAAAAGCAAAAGCAGCCACCTGAATAGGTGGGGATCTGGTTAACCCCATAATTACTCTGGTTTTTTCCATGTTATCTTTAAAAATGTATTGAGGTCAAATATACCCTTATTTTACATGCTTGGGGTTTAATCCAACAGGAGATGATGATTAAATGTGATGGAAATTAATTTTTCAATGTTTTTCTAAAGTGAAGATAAGAAGAAAGGAAAGGAAAGACATGATCAGTAATCCCTGTTTAGCATTTTAAGATCCAATAGTTTAATGGCCTTTTACCCCCTTTAGTGAAACTATGACCTCTAAGTAATGTGAACTGGATAGTACTTCAAGGGATTTACATACATACACACATATCTCAGGCTGTGCATCTAAGGATAAGAATACAAAGTGGCAATGTACAACTTGATTCTTGGCTTGATTATTTTTAAACACCTGTTTAACACTCGTTTACTGAATTCTTTACAAAGTAGGGCACTGACCCTACTCTGAACTGCAAAGGGGCAGGAGGCATGCACAGAATGCAGTGGTTCCCCATGTGCTCCAGTCATCCTGTATTCAGGGCCAGACTTTGGCTTGCTGTAGGCCAGTGCACAAGGTCAAGGGGAGAAGACGACAAAAAAGCTTTCCTCATTCCTTGCCCTCTTGTGGGTAGTTTTGATCACATGATGCATTACCTGACTGTAAGAGCAACGGAAGACCAATTCAGGCAGGGGTTCCTAAAAGACAGCCCATAAGCCACTTGCAACCCGCAAAGCATTTGTATGTGGCCCACAAACAGACCTTTTAATGGTGGCACTCTGGACACCAAATTATGTTATACCTGTTGCATGAAGGTAATGCACTACAGATTCATTTTGATGTGCAGCCGTCAGCGGCATGTCCTACACACTAAGCAGCCCTCCATGGGCAGAACTTTGGGGCTAGGGACACGCATTACACATAAACCGGTTTAAGTGATCAGAAACAGGTTTTAATCTGTAACAGAACAGATGTTCAGTGCACATAAACCGGTTTGAAAATGGCTAAAACCAGTTGGAAATAAACCTGGTTGAATGTAGTATCAGACTTAACTGATTTGGGTCAAACTGGTTTATGCAATGTCTGTCCCAGACCCCTTCCTGGTTTAACTTAAACCTGAGTCCCCCAGCATCCCAGATGCTTTGCAGCCCTGGGCGGGGCTCTCTGCTCCAGAGCAGGGCTGGCCCTACCCCGCTGTTCCCTGGCTGGAGCTCTGGAAGAGACCGTAGGCAAAGCAGCATCTGCCTGGCTTCCCTGTGCTCCCTCCCACCCCCCCTCAACTCCCTGCTCAAGCAGGGATTGCCCCCCTCCTCCTCTCCCACAGCACAGACATAGCCAGCATGTGGTATGCTAGCTAATGCTGAGAGGTGTCTGTGTAAGGCAAACAGGACAAAGGCAGACAGGACAGTGTCTGCTTAGGACTTTTTAGAGCTAATCAACAGGTAGGTGGTAATGTCTCTCTGTTCCTTCCTTGGAAAAAGTTGTTTAAGAAGAGCTTGAGCCAATGAGAGAGACTTTTGTTTTCTTGATGGGGTGCTAAATGCTGTGTTATCAACTCTCTGCTGGCTTCCTTGCTGGTCAGGAGCAGCGAGAGGGGAGGAGAATCCCTCCCTAATCAGAGCATCCTGCCAGGGCCTGGCCACGCCTCTCACAGCTCAGCTCTATACAAGGGAAGGGAGGGCTACTCTGGCACCCCCTGGCTTCTAGCCTGAGTCATTGCAGGTATGTGCCTGCATTTCCTCAGTCCAGAGGTAATGTCTGTACGGTTACAAACCGGTTCAGCCTAGCCAGGTTAGACTAACCTGCAAAGATTGAATCAATTCAGACTCAGGCTTTTTGAATGTTTGTCCCCAGCCTGCTCTGGGTATAGGATAAGGGCTGAGACCCTTTCCACGTTGGCTGGTGATAGTGAAGCTAGCCTGACAAGAGGAGCATATGCTGCATTTCTGGAAAGACAGTGTAGAAGCTACCTTCTGCCACAGCCACCAGCAGTACCATGTCTGCCTGGGTGGTCTATAGGCTGACTAGTCACAAGAAATGATAGCGGGACCTCAGCAATCTGACCCTCACTGCCTCCTCAGACACTCCAGCATGCTCTAGCTTATAAAGTCACCACAAAGCTCTTAGTGTTAGAATATAGGAAGGCACCATACTGAACCCTATCCTACGGAGGATTTTGTTGCTTTTATTAAGTAAGAAATGTGTCAGTTTAAAATTGATGCCCAATAGTTAAAGCCACGACCAAGCACGATAAACCTTATATTTTATTTTTTTTAAATCGTTAAGATCCAGCAGGGAGTGCATTCTCAGTTTTTCATCTACTCACACAGGTAATAGGTGCCACAAAAATAGATATTTACCACCTACATTATTAAAATAATGAATAGATTTGCAATATTTATAAAGAAATAACATGGTGAAGGTAAACCAAACATCCATTTTTAATGATACTGCCCTTCTAAATACATACTAGTTTAAATCCATCATTCCAATAGAATCCATCACTCCATTAATACAGCAATATGAAATGGTTTTATTAGAATGGACTAAAGCAAACCAAAGATTTGCCACAGCCACTTCGAGCAGACGCAGTTTTGAGCTGCTGTCCTCAAGACCTCATACCCATAATACCAGGAAGTGCTCAGGTTAAATGAGAAATGTCAATAGAGCTCACCCCTTTTCATTTACTTGGCTTCTTTCAATAGCGCTGAAAACAGCAACACACACATATCCATGAACTAAACATATATTTTTGGATTCTTTTTCTCAGAACTACAGCATCCACTGTGCCCAGCACTGGACTCAGATTGGTCTGAGCTGAGGTGCAAACACTGAAATTTTTTTTTTAAAAGCTTCATTAAAAACAGGGTTTTACCGTAACACCAAGATTGAGATTGCCTGTTTAAAACCTGTTCAAACCCATTGCAACAGAAAGCACTCAACCCCTTCTCTCCCCATCAGTGGCTCAGCCCTCAAGTATCATCACAAAATCCAACACCATGACTGACATAGACTGACACCCTTGTTACCAATTACAGCAAGACCTTCAACAGCACAAGTCCCTGGTGTTGAAACGTACTGTTTTGTAGGCACGGTTGAGGCAAATTGGTGGAGCAGCTTGGGGAAGCTTGCAATATATGGTGGATGAACGATGAGCTTTAGTTTTGCCACCTACCAGCACGAACTACACACCCACAAAACGCTGAGAGTGTCCGTTTTGTTAGAAAATACAACATGATTACAAACACAGGAAACAATGTTTGTCTAATGCAGAAGGACACATCTGCTCAGACCACGTCATGATAGCTACAGTCCTAGGAGCTTGGAAACACGGTCACCTCTGGAAGAATAAGTAGATAAAGCTACAAACTCCGTGAAAGCCCTGATGCCCCGAACTGCTCTGCTTTCCATTGTCATTTCTCCTGCTCTTGCCATCTGGCAATACCTCCTTTGAGGCTTAACAATTTTGTTTAACCAGTAGCTTATGCTGCTTCTCTCCATTTAATTAAAGACCTGTAAGAATCCGGAGGTCACGTTATAGCGTTCTCTGCATGTGCCAAGCAAAGAGGCAGCAAACTTATGCTGGAAAAGAAATGGGCCTCATCACCAAGTCTGCTATTCACATCCTTTTCACTAGGCTTGTTCTGATCAGAGTGAAGGGAGGTGGGCTACGCCTAAATGAAACTTAATAATACATGGTGAATAACTATATCATAGCTGTAGTTCATGCAGGTGATTTTTAGCATGAATTGCACCTATGTTCCTTCCCTTAGGATTTCCATTGCCTGAAATTGGCTCAGTGCCACTATTGTAACTGGGTTGGGGGGAGGGAAATTATCATGTCACTAAAGGATTGTTTCTCTATATCTTTAACTAGACTCTGTAATTTTTAAAAACTAGCATCAAGCAACAGCACGGGTTTCTTTTGTTTTGAGGGGTTTGGGGGTTTTGCTTTGCTTGCTTTTCTGTTTATTATTTTTTTTAAAGAGCTGTAATATTTTTAATCAGCATAAATCTCACCAGCAGCATATATTTAACTTTGTAGGTCACATGCTCATTTTGAAGTTTCGAGTTCAACTTTTTGTGAAAATATAGCCCCCAAATATACTTTTTTCTTTTCTTTTTTTCACTGAGCAGCTTTCAATCAAAAACCTAAGAGCATTGTTCTTGCTTTCCCCAGGTAGGGTAACAATACAGCTGGGAATTAACACTCCATTGAGTTAAATGGCAGAAGAACAGACAAGAAAATATAGTCTGAACAGCTAATGGCTTTGATAAAGATTGATCTAACTACTCCGTACATATTATGAGTTGAAGATTGAAAGTGGAGGTGCACATATAAAATGTCAACATTCATACTTCTCGCCATGTAAAATGCAATGCTTGTAGTTTTATTGGATGTATGTCACATCATTGGTTTACCTTCACTTTTCTTCTCATAAAACATGGCAGGTACAAGTTGACAGCTATCTGTATTATTGTCCTTAGAGCAAGACAAATTGCTTCTTAGGGTAATACTTATGATTGAAGCCTGCTATGTCTTCCCAGTAGGGTTTTTATCTCAGATAGCCTTGTGTAAGGATGGAGAGAAGCATCAATAAACAACAAAAAGTAAATGTATAATTAATGCAAGACCACCAAAAGTAATACCTGCAAAAGAGGTATAAAAATAATTGCAAATGTCTCTAAATATTATTCCCACTTCAATCTGTTTAGAAAATTTTTTTTTTTTTAAAAGACAAATCAACAATTGTACACTTAACTTAAAAGTAATATGATTAAGTTTAGCCTCTTACAACTAGTATTTCTATCTATTTAAAAAAAAGTGGGGGTTAAGATCCCTTGATTAATTTAGGGGTAAATTCCCGTGTTATAGATTCTTTCTGAATATAAGTAAAATTTAGAGAGAAGGGCACCAAAATGCTTTTGAAAACTCATAGTGAAAGACAGCCTACCCAAAAAAGCTCTTAGAAAGTTAGTGGCCTATTTAAACATTTATACACTTCTTAATAAGGGTTAGGGGATCCTGACTGATAAACCTGCTTGATCTTTTTTGACAGGACTACAAAATAAGCAGCAGGATAAAAAATAGCGGTCTTTATATATATATATGTGTGGTTTCAGCAATAGATGTACGGACAGAGCTGATGCAAATGACTCAATGATTTGATTGATTTAAGCCAAGTAGGGATCTGGCCCACAATGTCTTATGGAAATTTCCTCACAAAACTAAATCAAAGAGACTTGGATAGAAATACAGTCCCTGTCAACTGAAAACCGGTTGCAGGGCTACAAAAGGAAGTGAACTGCAAATGCCAGAGAGAAATATTTTGAAAACCTAGAGGGATACTAGAAACAGGTAGAAAATAACAAAGGAATGCATTTCACCCACCATTTTACTGGGGAGTTGTACTTTGGTGATGGCATGAACCCAAATGATATTCATCTTGGAATACTGCAAGTAAATACATTATTGTGCATCCCTAGAAGCAAACTCTGTGCTCAGCCTCTGTGGTCAATAATAACTTTGCTTCATCTGTTTGGAGTGTTGTTACAGCCATAATGATCCAGGAAACATGCAAGAAGCAAGGTCTGTTTGGTAATATCTTTTATTGGACCAACTGTACTTGTTTCCCAACTACACAGTTGCTCCAATAAAAGATATTATCAATTTTTTTTGTCTATATATGCATGTTTAAATATCTGGGAGAAAATAATCAAAACCATAGAGAATCAACGAAAAACAGAAGTGTGGGTAGGTGTAATGCCAAAAGATACTTGAAGTATGAATTGTCAACCAAAAGAATTCTGGGCTGTACAGGTCGGGGTAATTGTATTTGACATTGGCAAGGTTAAAATACTCTGTTCAACTTCTGAGCACTTTTTGCAAGAAAGACATTGACAACGTCAAGAAGGAACACCAAAAAACTGTTAGGAGAATGGAAGGGCTGACTTACAAGCAAACATTCTGAGGTTTTTGTCTGATTTTGGGCATGTTTCTTAATTTTGTTGGAATGCAAATAAGGTTTGGTTGCCATTTATAAATGTTTTCCCTGAATAGCATCCAAATGTGGCCTATCCTTATTCAACTCAATCCTAGGTATCAGTTCCCAGAGACTGACCTTAAAATCCCATTGGTTTCCTCTGCAAACAGTTTTCACGCTGAGAAGATGAGAAATTTGAGGTGGTAGAAGAGTGTTTTTATATGTAACCAGTAAAACCCCTTCTCAAAAGTTTGGTTTTATGTGGTTTTATTGGGTTTAATCCATTTAAATCTAAATCAATAAACTTTTCTTATACGGAAGATTAAGAAAAAAAGAGCCACATATTTATGTCTTGGCCAAGCGACACCTAATTATTTACAGGATGGTAACACCAAAGAAGGTAAAACATTTACAAATGCAAGTGTAACTAGGGGGAAGGGAGCAGAACACACTAGTGTCATTTCCAAATGCTTCTGCCTCATTACCTGATTTGTTTAGGGGTAGGCTTAGGCTTGCAAGCACTCAGATGTGCACCTACAAAAGGGAAGCTTGACCTTCTCAAAACTGACTGTGCCATCCCTTATGGGCAGCTCTTGAGCAGTTGAGCTTTCAGCACAAACTATTTGCCTGTGGAATTTAACTAGGCTGGCACCATACAGTGTGATTTGCATGTGCAAATGAATCTTTATTCTCATAAAGCGTAGCATTTGTGAGTGCAAAGTCTGCCCACTGAACCTGAGCCCAAAATTCCCATGGACTTCACTGGGCAAAGCCCTGTCCATTGAAGCCAGTAAGAGTCATCAATAGGCTACAGATGTGCCTAAAAGTATGCATGCATTTCTGAATTGGGTCATAATGAGAATTACCCAGCAGAAGTTTCTGCCGTTTTTAAAAAGAGGATTAGGAAAAATGTTCCACTGGGATAGTAGGTTATTATTCCTATGGTACCAGCAGCTCAAAGTCTTACAAATTTTGAATACTATTTATATACAATTTGATTCAGTAGCAAATCGTTTTTGTGGATTAGCTTGTCTTTTTAGTGGCTATTTCTGCTGCCTCCTAAATTCACCATAACTCTTAAGTCTGTATTCAAAGCTGTATTGCCCCACCTCTCATTTAAACCAGGCTACTGTACGAAGAAACAAAGAGCAGAGTTTATATGTTTCACTCATTGATTCTGAGGTTACTACGCTATTGCTGGGGTAACCATATTACTGAGAATACAATGATGTACCAAGTAAAACATTTTCACATATACTGTTTAGATAACTAGAATTTCCCACAGAAAAAGAAAACAAAAGCTAAGTTATTAAAAATGAAGTACATGTAAAGGGGTTTTTAAACACTAAGCGTTAGAACTCCAAGCATATTAAAATTATATACATATTTATAATTCATGTAAGTATGAGACTCATAGTGGCCAACATGCAAGTTTCCAAGAGTCAATGCAGTTTAGCTAGAAAAATGATCTTGCAAAGGCATGCGTGCCAAATTGTCTACTTTTCTTTATCCACAGATCATGAAGGAAGTTCGGAGAGCCTTGTGCAATGCATCAGCTGATGACAGTAAACTCTTACTTCTCAGCGCAGTGGGAAGTGTATTCTGTAGTGGCCTAGATTACTCATATTTAATTGGCAGGTTATCCAATGACAGAAGAAAGGAAAGTACTAGGATTGCAGAAGCTATAAGGTGATCCAAGCTTATATGTGATCTCTAAATGATGAAATGTAGTGTGCGATTACAAAGATATTTATCAAGTCCAAAAATGTTTCATATTTCACGTGTGAAAAACATTCAAAGGAGTGTATATTTAGTGGAAAACATGAATGAGTTTCTTCTGTAGCTTTTCTTTCTTATTTCAGTAAAGATTTATTTTGTTGCATTATTTCTTTGTATCTATACCATTTCAAAATTCTGCCTCAATTGAAATTCAAATTAAGATGTAAGTTTATTTTTCTTTAAAAAATTAGCTGTGGCTTGATGTTGTTCGTGGAGCCCAGACTCACTCAATACAGCTGGCTTCTGCTGTATTTCAGTCTTAATAGCACGTTTTCTGCTATTTTTCTTAAATTTAAATTTATATTAAATAATATGTAAATATGGTATTATTTTCATGACTAAACTATGACTTTGGTTAATATGTATCAGATTATTTTAATAGAAAACCAGGATTTATGACATGTTGTCTATAAATCAATTAGATTATAAATCACCAATGCCCACATGCATCACAGAGGTAAAAACATGTGGCCAGATCCTCAGCATTATGTCATTAAGGTCAATGGAACTACTTTTTTCTGCACCACTGAGCATTTGGACTACAAATTTAGATTTCCCACAAATACATCTTCTTTTCAGAGTTTTTATATTGTGTGCAGGCAGAGGCAACTGGTGCCTCCTGAGTCTGGGGTGGAGGGCACAATTTGTGGGTGGGCCCAGGGCCAAAAGCCCCATATCCACTTCTATACTTCTGTGCCACGACTTAGTGCCCCCTCCCCACCCACAACATGCCGCTGGCCTGCATGGCAAAAAAAACTGCCCCGTCCTGAGCAGTGCCAAGTCAGAGGCCAATCTGGAGGGGTACATGCCCCCTCCCCTCCCCATACCTCCCCTACCAGTTGCCTGTGTGTGTGAAGGACATGCTGATGCTTATGAAGCAAACTGAAGGGGATGACTTGCTTCAGATCAGACTTTTAGCCATGTTAGTACAACTAGTTTAGGTCTCATGATAAATATTTCCTTTATGGATCAGAAGCCAAGCCAATCTGAATAGTGATTTCAGTATGGTAGGTATCAGTATCTCAGTTACTAAACATGATTATTACAGTACATTTTGGATGCCTTGACCCTTGTGAACCTCTGAAAGTAGAAAAAAAATCTGCGCGATTATATCGTATTATGGCCTAGATTCTAATCTGACAATGTTTGGGACACCGTAAAGGAGCCTGATTTTCAGAAGGTGGGTGCTGTGCTGAGTACTCTCTCTAAATGACTCTGAGGTTTCTCCAAGTTGGGCACCCAAAAACTAACAAGCCCCAAATTATTAGAAACACGCACAAAAGGTCTGGGCATACATGCATACTCCAAGTGTGAACGTGCATTAAATGTTTATTCATCTAAAATTTTTAAGGATGAGTGTGGCCAGATATATATTTATACATGCACAATATAGGGCTTGACCTAATGCATACCAACACCAGTAGGAACCTTACCATTGATTTCAAATAGCATTGGCTTGAGTCTTGCCATCTTTACTCACATCAGTAAAATCAGTTGTATTCACACAGAAATGTACTCCTACTCATCAGAAAAGTCAAGATCATTCCACTGGGATTAGATTTTATCATGAAAATAGAAAGATTATAACTTTCTCTCTCTAATTCTCTCAGTTCTTATCTATGGACCAGTTGTTCCCTGAAAGTGTATAAAAACCACAGAAGTGAGAGTGAAAAAAAAAAAATGTTGCTTTCTCTTTGTCACGGCGGGGTCCTTCAGGAGGGCCGTGATCTCCTCAAGGCCCTCTCTCCGCGCTAATTTGGCCCAAGGGCACCCTCCATTTTCGCCCGCCATGTCTTTGCTCTTAAAGTAAAATGTAATAGGGAGGCTGCCTTGCGTCTCCTCGGGCACGTAAACTCCTGGACCCCTTGTAGGTCTCCCCGTACACTGGGTGCTACTCAAGCACCCTAGCCTTGTGGGCTGCGCGTGGCTCCTACCACCCCTAATACCACGCCCCAAGCCTCGCTGATGTACCTGACGTTGGT